CTTGTGGTAAACATATGCGATAATCGACGTACGAAGTCTCATAAAGATGAAATGAATAATGCTAGCAGAAAAACACCTAACAGTCATCATAAGCTTCTTATGATGGATATTTCGTTTCGGGCACTGTTTTGGTATATTACTTGGATCAAATCATTACGATGAGCGTTTACGATTGGCGTACAGAATCTATTTTTCGTCATAAGTAACAATTCGATTAAAAAAGGAATCATTTTTGTTTCGATTCAATAGTGAATTGCTTTAACGTGTGCTTCTTTCTGGCATTTGTACAAATCACATGACATCCGCTTTTCCAATATTTCTATTTTATCAATTTAATTTAAATGAATTAATATTGTTTTAATATTATCATTAAATTGTTTTAATATTATCATTAAATCTTGCTGCTAATTCACTCGAAGTTTGAGAGGGATCCGCTTTCATTATTGCTTTCAATTTATCATTATCAACTTTTGTCTCAGATCGTCCACGTGACTTATTTTCGGAATCAAAATTTCCAAAATAAAAAGATTGAATCAATAACGGAGGTGCGTTTTTTAATTGTTGTTGGCCCATATATAGATATTACGAGCTGTCTGTTGCATTAGCTGTAGGATGAAATTCATATTCGAAAATCATGCAAATTTTAACATTATATATGATTGCATAAAAGGAAATCTAAAAGAAAAAAATTAAGAAATTACAAAAATACAAAGCAGTTTTAGAAAGAAGAAAAACATATTTTTCAAACAAAAAAATAATGAGACATTGAAATATTGTGGTAAGTCCAGAGATATTGAATATCAGAATCAGCAGTTCGTAAAAGCGGTAATTTCAAGAAACCCCTAATATTTTAATTATTTTTGAGCCACAGTAATATGTTTAGGAACAAACATACAAACAGTGGAATTGTAACTTTCATTACTGTTCTTGAGCTTGCGCTGCGTTTAATTCTGAATCTGCTATTACTTTTCAGAACTTAAACCAATTATAAAAATATTTACATTGAATCCATCTGTCGGCATGTAGCGTGAGCCATATTTTCATGCCGTGCACTGCTTGCAAAATCGCATATTACAGTATTTGTCGGGAATTATATAATTTATAATGTTCTAGAGACATATTTTTAAGACTATAAGACTATGTAAAATGCAAAAAAAATTCGATATTTTTAATTATTACGTTGGGTAACATTGGGTTTAATCTTTTAAGGTAATACATTATTTTTCAATATCTAATGAAGCACTAAAACTTTACACACGCTTTCTTCTAAATCATGTTTCTCAATCTTGTCCCCGGGTTTTCTCAAAAACTATTGCATCGATTTACTATTGTTTTGTGATATGTTTACATTTGTTGCTATATCCCCTACTAATTTCATGTTATACCTTCAAATTTATTTTCTTTTTACAGCTGGAAAATTCGGTATTTTACGGAATTTCAGAAAATTATATCCAACTTTTAAAGAAAAGTTTTACTGGATGTGACAAATTGTTCAGTGATAAATTATGTACGAGTACAAGCAATAAAACTATTGAGCAACAGTAATTTATCATTGGTCAATTTATTATAACCAGTAATATTTTTCTTTAGGTGAATTTAGCATGTTTTTTTCCTGATCGTCACCATTATTTTAACATAGTGTTATATTGTTCATTGAGGTAGGGAAAGTAATCACATTTATAAGGATTAAAATAAACTTTGGACCATTTATTTCAGATCAGTAACATGGGTACAAATCTGAGAATAATACAAACAGAATCGTCTCAACAACTCATATTTAATTAATTATATATTTTTCGTTATATGTTTTCGTTATATGCATAAAACATAACAAAATCTAAATTTTTCTAAAGATAAAAGATACATAAACATGAATATCAATATTCTAAGTACTTTTATATCGTAGAAATAAATTGGTTAAAATTATTTTAAAATCAACCGTCTAAACTAGAAACCTCCCTTAGTGTCTGGCTCAATCATCATGGTGGAATTTATGTCTAATTTAGACGATTAACTTAAAGGCTAATTAGTTGAATTGAACGATGTGATTGGTCAATTCCGTTGAATTAATCGTCGTTTAAATTTAAATTATGATGGTGGAATCGGAAATAAAAGAAAAATATTTAATCGATCAATATAAATTTCGAACATTTTTTAAAGATGCTCGCAGATAGCACAGAAACACTTTTGTCAATATATGAAATATACGGTTAATTATTGTAAACCTTTTTTTTAATCATTATTTAATAATTAGCCGTTCTGGATCTTTTGGCAGACCCTATATGTAACGAGTAACATTAGTGTACATTATATAAAATGACAAGGATATTTTCATAATCATAAAGAATAAACGAGGACGACCGCATACTAAGATATCCGGTGCTCATGATCGAATTTATGCAAGGATGCGGAAGAAACATGATGTATGACATATTGTTTCAGCTATGCTCAAATTCTACTACGTTTGCCTTCAATTATCAAGCTGATATTGCAGATTGTGTTAAATATTTGTAATTTTTTTTTCATCCTGTTGATGGCAGTTTTATACCACGTTTCTTCTATCACGTCGTAACGGCACTGTAATGCCAGAAATCGGTCTTAGTAGCACGCAATAACATAAATAAGATGGTCCCGTGTATGTATACTACGAACGTATACACTCGGAGCGCACACATACACAGCGTGCACATACGGGAGTTATCTTCTTCTCAACTACTGAGGCCGATTTATAATATTACTGGACAGCCCGATGTGTTTGAATTCTGCTGTATTTCTGCTGTCACTTCATGTCGGCACTATATGTTTTAATTTTGAGACAATTTTATCGTCACATTGTGTTATTAAACCGTTAGTTACCGTTAATAAACCTTTGTTGACAAAAACTAAGCTTAATAAAAACGCAGTGGATCAGAATCTGCCGCAAATGCGGTAAATTATCAAATCTGTTGGCAGAATGTTGATATATGTGGATAATGTCATTTTAACTGAGTTAGTTTAAATATAACTGTTCAATAATAACTGTGTTCCGAAATTCAGTACTAAAAATCTATAGTTAACGTTATGTATGCTATAAATTTTCAGTATTGGCAATGAATATCGAAACGCGGCTCATATTGCTATTAAGATCTACTCCAATTATTGCGCGTTATTGGAAGTTCTATTAACCCTTTGCACTCGAGCAGCGCCGATACAGCGCCCGGCCGATTTGAAGCGTCAACTCGAGCGGCGCTGCTACGGCGCCCGGAAGGTTTGATGCGTCCAGTCGAAATGCGCTGTTACGGCGCTACGGTGTTTTGTAACTTGATCTGTTTATTTACGATGTGCGATAAGATGTTTCTATCTGAAATACTTTCGTGGACTAGGCTCGGTTTACATTCTTAGCCAAATCTTAGCTTAGTTTAGTTAGTCTCAGCATAGCATTCGCTTGAAACAGTCTTGGCAGTGAGTATAGCAATTGAAAAGTTTTCGAGCCCTAAAAATATGGATCAAGATCAGATCAGCTCAAGTTCGGACGAATTCAATTTTGCCAATTTGAACGAGGAAATAGAAAAGAACAAAAAAGGGGAAAAGCCACTCATCCATTTGCGATTTCTAAAAACACTTGTCGAGCAATTGAGAGGATCATATCGCCAGCATCGTGAGCAAGCGTCGACGTCGCATACCGATGAAACCCGACTAAATGGGAAGCTTCACATAGTACTAAAAGGACCAAAAAGGGACTGCAAGGTTTGCTCTGACCGTAACACGCCTGGCGGTAGACGGGAAGTAACATATTATTGTGATACGTGTCCAGATAAACCTAAGATGCATCTTGGGCATTGTTTTACGAAATATCACACGAAAACTAATTACAGAGTGTAATATTTACCAAATTTTGTTGTATTCAATATAAAAATTAATGAATTGGTGAAATTTTATTATTTGTATACGTTTGTTTGAGTATAAATGATTTTAAAGTACCTGTAAAATGCTTCCCTAATTTAACCGAAATCGTCTCGAGTTGCTGGTTCGCGCGAGCGAAAAAAACCTCAAGTGCAAAGGGTTAATTCAACTACTTTTTTTGTGTATTGATATATATAAGGTCTAGTAAAAAATAATCCATTATTTTTGTATCAAATTAGAGGCTTTATTTAACATAGTTACAATGATCCGATTTAGGTCAAATATGCACCGTTTTGTTCGATAACTTGTTGCTATTTCGAAGGTAATTTCATTATGCTTCTTCCATAGAAACCCTCGTCCCTATTGGCAAAAACTTGGGAAAGTCGATTTTCACGAGCTTCTCTTCACGCGAATTTTTCACCAGCAAAAAAATTCGCCATAGACAGGAACAGGTGGTAATCACCTTGGTGCCAGGTCCGGACTATAAGGTGGATGCAAAAGAACCTCCCAACCAAGCTCCCGGAGCTTCTGGCGAGTCACTATCGATGAGTGTGGCCTTCATCTTTGACGCGCGCTCAAACAATACTGAGTCAAGCAATCACAAAACTGTCTAAAAGGTTTTTTTGTACGAAATCTTATCTTTCTAACGCCATCTGGCGTAATCCGATCGGACTTATACAACGCGAGATACAAATTAGTAAAGCCCTCTATTGGAAAAATAATGGATTACTTTTTTCTAGACCTAATATTTACACACCTACAATACAAAGTAAAAAGATAACTGCTGTAATGTTTATTGCTGCTTATCACATGCCGTCCGATTTGTTACATTCAAATTTGGTGCTGACTGGAAATCGCCTCTTGAGTTGGTTGAAGCGTTACTGATAAAAATAATAATAGGATAATAGGATAATAGGAAATATATTTTGTATTTTAAAAATTATTTATTTACGGAAGAACTCGCTTTGCACGCATATATTTCATGAAAATAAATTTCCGTCTAATTTCTATCTACGTTTTTAGTTAAAAATTAATAGTGACGAATGTTGAATTTATATAGGAAATTATCTTACTATATATTTATATTCTCGAATTTATTTTCTGTATTACATAGGGAGACTATGGCAGTTACGGTACGTACAGACCGCTTTCGAGCACGCTTGATCGCTTGTCGACGAGATCGGCGTCAGCCCAACAGGTAAATCTCGCGAATCTGAGAGCGTCGACGGCGATCAGCTCAACGTGCCATCGCGGAGCAACGAATCCAAGGCCAGCCTCAGTGGCGTCGAGTGGGCGCTCGTCGCTGGTGTCCCAGAAACCGTCATTAGGTGGCTCTGCAAGCCAACGTGCAACCTCGGTCAGAAGAATTAGGAACTTGTTGGACTTGGAGTCCACGAGGAACATACCTACCCCAACGCCTACCAGAACTCAGGATCAAAGACTGCTAGATATTAATCCTGCAGGTGAATGTTCGTTTATTTTATTCACCGCCTCGTTCCTTTTCGGTGAAGGAATGAACCGATGAATCTTCTATAGTTATTTGAAATCAGGCATAACCATTTAAAGTATAGTGGATATTTTAGGTATAATCTAATATTATACAGGATATTTCCTAAATATTGCCCACTATTTTAGAAGCTACTTTTTGAGGCTAATTTATGAAGAATAGTTCAGGAACATATGGTCTCAAAGGCCTCGTTTTAAAAATATTGATATATTAAAAATTTTATAAAATTATTGTTTTTCTTTAATAATTCTTAAATAAGAAGAAATTTCGTTTCCAATCTCGAGCCAATAAATAAGCAGGATAATATTTTCATTTTTGACGTTATAGTCACCGTTTTGTAAAAAGTCAATGGTGTAGAAACATAATTTCAGATAATACATTAATGTTTCGAACTTGTTCATTAATAGACGGTATCAAATTTGTTTGTAGATTTTTATTCGTTAAATATACTATTATATATACGATATTTATTTCATTATATATGCACGGTGTCCCATTCTAACATGGACACCAACATAACTCGAAAAAAATGTTTTAAATAAAAGTTGTAGGATTTGAAATGGGCCATTAGATGAGCTACATAGATTTTGGATCTGGGGCTCACTTTGGACTCAATAAAGCCCAGGTTAATTTTTTCGACGGAAACGTTTATGTTTTATTACAGATTCGTATTCTATGGAAAAAATGAGGAAATGTTGTTTCTGGTAATTTTTCGCTAAACCTCCTTCAACAGGCGTAAAATAGCGCTCAAAGTTTTTATTTTGAAATATATTCCGGCCAATGAAGGCAAGACTAGCGGACGATCCGGCCAATGAATGCAAAGCCATGGGACGATCCGGCCAATGAAGATCAGCAGACGATCCGGCCAATGAAGGCAAAATCAGTGGACAATCTGGCCAATGAAGGCAAGACCAAGGGACGATCCAGCCAATGAGGGCAAGATCAGGGAACGATCCGGCCAATGAAGGCAAGACCAGGGAATGGTGTAGCCGATGACGATGGATAATAGATTATAGACTCATCTAATCGTTGCCATTACGTCACTCTGTCTGTATCAAATATTTCAAATATCCATCGTTATTCCCTAATCACAAGTTGAATATGCGTCTAAAATTTTATATAATTAATCTGATTATTTGCGGAGTTATCGTTTGACAAAGTTGATTTTATTCATCATAACTATTTCTGTAGTTAGTTCATTTTTCTATACAGCATTTTTCACATACCGCCATAAGTAGAAAGCTAAAAGATTAAGGTTCAGTGATCTCGAAGGCCACAAAACTGGTCCTTGTTGGTCTATCCGATGATTTAGGAATTCCGCATCTAAAAATCTCTTAACATCTCGAGCGAAATGTGCAGGAGCACTATCTTGCTGAAACCAAAATCTTCGATGAACATCCAATCAAATGTTCCCATGGTACTTTAATAAATGGTTCTGAAGAAAGTATGTAAATTGTACTGTTAATTGTAAATTTCTTTAAAAAATGCGGTCCGATAATGTGACCATTAAATGTTCCAATCCACACATGGAGTCTCCTACGATGTTTATTCAGAATTTGTCGGGACTAATGACGATTTACTGATGAATAATAATGACAACTGAGTCTATTAAGACATTCAGTGCTTAGAAATATTGCTACATCGCTGAAATAAACATTCCAAAAAAATTCGGGTTCTGTTCCTGTGTCGAGTGCCCATTTACAAAATTTTACTTATACGTGGTTATCTTCGCTTAACTTTTGCACAAAATTAACGTCATTTAATGACAGTATTGAACAGATTATTACATTCAATTAATTGTAGATCGAGGAATTCTTAATTTTCGTTCGATTTGACAAGTGCTAACAAGTGGATTCAAATAACCATGTTTAACTCGGGAATAGTCACTTGAAGTCATTTCATACCCCAGTGGTCAGAAAATGGAGCTTATGTCGCAGTGGATTTTTTTACTGATCAGGAACCAATATGTACTATTCACTTAGACATTTAGAGACCTAACTTGTGTAACAAGAATTAGCTGTGACTTGTCTTATTCAAAATATAAACTTGTAAAAACATGTTGGGGTGCAAAACGACCATAGGTGATCGTTATGTTACCATTTATAAAATTAATCAAGGATAGTAAGAGTTGAAGAAGTAAAGACAAGATGATAATAAGTTTGAAAGAAGTTATGTGTACCCAGTAAATATTAAACAATATTTATATTACATCTGATGCTGACTGATAAAAATGTCCAGAGAAACAGGCGAAGGTATTCTTATAAAATATATGATATTTATATTTATTGCTTTTAGTTAACATATATAGTTAATATTAACATTAACATTTATTATAAATGAAATGAATATCTTAAATTATACTTTTTATGTAATGTTAAACACAAAAAATATCGATATTCTTAAAAATTTGTAATTTTTTTTGTTTAAAAAAATTTATGTTATATATTTAATAAGACAGTGAAGAAATATAAAATAAATAATTTTTACAATCCTGAATCAATATTAGTAACTTTGTATAATCACGATTTAACTTTACTTTAAATTCTTATAAAATAAATGTTATTT